ACGAGCAGCCGGTATCTATGCCAGGCAATATATGGAGCAAGCAGTACTGTGGAGTCCAGTCTCTTTCCTACCTCTTCAACTATGTCTCCAATGAATTGTGACTCGTGCCTGCAACTCAAAACCAAATAAAAAACAAAACGGAAACTCTATTCAAGATGTCAAAAAAAAGTTGCAGTTTTCTTAGAACAAAGAAATTTATCGAATGAGACAGGTTAGTTTGTGCAGGATCTCTAACCATATCGAAATCTTTTGTGCAGGATTAAATAGGAAAAACAATATTGTTTATGCTTTTCCGCACAGCCCTTCTTTTATCTTTCCTTGGAAAGCTCATCTGCTTCAGTTTTCCTTAATTGCATCATTATAAAATGTTTAAAGCTTAAGATTCTACTAGATCAAGTATATAGTCTTTTCGACTATATACGACATCAAGTAGCGATCAGAAATATGGGATGCGTATAATTTGATCATACCTATCTTGTAGAACCATCCCTCCCAGGTATGCAACTTCTTTGAGTGTTGCCTTCCATTTCTCTACCCTCTCCATGTCATCCTGGAAATGATCTTGGTGTTTAGCAAAGGCTTCAGCATAATTCCCTGTCTGCTCCCCAACTTGAGATGGATCCACATCGTAGAAAACAGGTAGAACAATATGTCCAGCAGTCCTCTTACGATCCATGATCATCACAAGTTCGTCTAGGCACCATGTCGAAGAAGCATAATCTTTAGACAGCACAACAACTGACATCTGCGACTCTTGGATTGCCTTCTCTATTTCTAACTCGATGTTTTCTCCTCTCTGGATGCTATTATCGTCTCTGAACGTGACAATCCCTGCCCTGGACAACGTCGAGTAAAGGTGATCGGTGAAATTCTTGCGGGTGTCTTCGCCTCTAAAACTCAAGAACACCTGGTAAGTATACGACGTAAAAGCCATCGATCAATAGAAGAAAAACTCTCAAAGGGCTCACGAGAATTATTCCTGAACAGAAAGAATTAGGAGACAAGGATATGAAAACTATTTGGTTATCTTAAAAATAAAACCATTGAAGCTTGTCGATGCTTAATTGTCTTCTGTATTTGTCATATTTCTAGGAATGCTCCTCCTTGCGCTCTTTCAAAGAAGTTTCAAGGTAGCAGCGGATATCGACTTTTACTACTCGGTATCTTTCATTGAAATTTACACGAATTTGTATTTTTAATTAAATAAAAAATAAAAATAATAAAATTTGAATCCTGTAAGATTTTAATTTGCAACTATTTTGTCATGAAAACTCTAATAACCTACCAAAAAACTAATATAATATTTTATATTATTCATTAACACGATTCTGGTTATATCTCAGCTATATATATTTAAAAGTTTTTAATTAATCAATAGATATTATAATTTTATATAAATCCACTAAAAACTCAATCACAAAAATCTAATTAGAAGAAATATAACTTCTATATCTTTAAAAATCTACTCCTTTTAAACGGCGAAAACTATGATGATACCATCATATAAAAACTATAGTAATGTCAATCAAATAGTTCATTGGAGACCATGAGTCCATGGAGTTTGGGACTTGACCAATTCAACCAATTGCTGAAGAGGTTTAATGGAAATTGGAGTAGGATAAGTTATTTTCAAAGCTCTTGCTAGGGTTGAGAGGTTTGGATGTTTAAGTCAGTGAAGAACAGTAGTCTTTAGAATTATAATAGAAGTGGTAGTTTAAAATATTTTTTATTTAAAAATATATGAAAATATTTTTTTTATTTTTAAAAATTATTTTTAATATCAGCATGTTAAAATGATATTAAAATATAAAAAAAATTATTTTATTAAAAAATTAAATTTTAAAGAAACACAATTTTGACCATATTTTCAAATATTAATCTAATATATTAATATATTGTGAGACTCAATAGAATTTATTGGGAGTTCAAATAAAAATATAAATGCACAAAATAAAATAGAACGAAAACTTTTTTAAATATTATCTGAACTATTTGGGGTGTATAAGTGGATAAAAAATCCTTCCATTTAATTGAACCTCTATACTCAAATTTATAGATAGATTAGATAGATAGTTATTCTAATATAAATTTAAAGTAATCTGTGTAGATTATTTTCTTAATATTATCTTAATTACTTTGCTTGAAAAATATTTTTTTTCATAATTTATATACTTTATTTACTGAAATTTTTCATGAAAATAATTATGTGAATTTTTAATGAAAGTAGCTAATGCTTTATGATAAGAGATGCTTTTATAAAAGTAATTTTTAATCGAAATTTAAAAGTGTGTAAAAATTTTATTTTAAAACTAGAAAAAAAAATATTTAAAAAAAATCAATTTAATACTTAACAAGCACATTCAAAAAATTTTAAAAAAATATATATTTAAAACACCTCATCCATTCTCATATTCCGTCTCTCGTAACAAGCACATCTCTTGAGCACAAATGAAATAAAGTTATTTTTTTTCATTCCATATACCTAGTCTTATTTATTTTTTTCTCAATTAAAAAAATAAGTAAATATTATATCAATATATACACTTTTTAATTACATTTACAATTGTTTTAAGACTTGGATGGTGCATTAAATGGACCTGGAACCAGCCTCACAAGTAATCAGGCATGGCTGACTCATAGCCTGAATAAAAAAAAAATTGATTAATTCAATAACCTAATTAAAACCAAGTTATTAATTTTTTTATACAATGTTATTTTATTTTAAAAAAATTATAAAATCAATCATCTCAATCCATGATCTGTTGATTGGGTTTTAAATTATGATGTTTAATATATTATCCTCTTAAAATTAAATATAATTGAAGAAAAAAAATTTGAGTTTAATTTTTTTAATAAAATAACAAAATTTTAAATTTGTTTTATATTGAACATGCATTTTAGGACATTAGGTTAAAAAACAAACAAAGAGCTCAGCTCATAAAATAAACAAACAAACCTAAGGAAACCCAGTAACTGCAAAGGAAAAAAGAAAGTGAAAAAACAGAGAAGAAAATGGGGAAACCTTTGGGATCAACGGGAGAGTTCTTCAGGAGAAGAGACGAATGGAGAAAGCATCCCATGCTCACCAACCAATTCCGCCACGCGACTCCTGGCCTCGGCATCGCTCTTGTAGCCTTTGGCGTCTATCTTGTTGGAGAGCAAGTCTATAACAAGATTTATGCTCCTTCCTCTGACCACTCCTCTTCTCACTCCCACTGATATAGAGGATGTTGGTTTGTGTGTCTTTTTCCTCGAGGTAAGATGGGTTATATTTAAAAAATATATATATAATGGTGGGTTTTGTGATTCATATCTGTTTTGATGATTTATTCGACTGATTTTTTTGGTTTGGATTTGAAATTATGGGTAGTTGGCAAATGGTATTTCTTGTTTTTTTAATTTCTGTGAAAAAGTTTGGATCTTTTTATGTCTTGTGATTGATTATGGTGATGCAGTCTCTTAATTGTTTGATTTACCAGAGATTTTTGTTGCTGTCAATTGGAAATTGGAGGTTGTTCTGATTTGGATATATTTGTAATTAATAATTATATGAACTATTAGGGTTTGACTTGTGATTTTGGTTTGGTAACATGAGTGTGTTTTCTTGTTCTTGTATTTTCTATGATGATTGAAGTTTCTTGTTTATGAAATTGTGATTTTTTGTGTAATTTTAAGGTTTCTTTAAATTATTTTTACTTTTCTTTGAAGAGGTTTCTTATTTTTTCACTTGCCTGCGTTGCCTTTTTTTCCTCAAAACTTTTGGGGTCTTATGTAGTTTTTATTGGGAGTATATCACATTAATGTTGGAAACCTAAGGAATAAAGAAGGGAGCGCTGTTGGATTCTATTGTGGACAGGTGCTCATGATGATCATTTTCGGTTCCTAGGCTCTGTGTTGGAAAGCTAAGGAATAAAGAAGGGAGCGCCATTGGATTCTATTGTGGACAGGTGCTCATGATGATCATTTTCGGTTCCTAGGCTCTGTTGTCAAAAAAGGAGGGGCCATTAACAAAGATCTTAGCCATAGAATCAGAATAGGAAGATTAAAACCGAGAAGTGCAACTGGAGTGCAGCATCATTGTCTACCTTTTATTAATTATCATGAACATTTAGGCTGTGACTGCTTGACATGAACAAAAAAAAAAATTATGATTGAGGCAGAGTTGAAATGAGGATATGAAGATGAATGTAAAGATGCGTTAAGAGGATGAATGCTGCAAGACTGGATTCAGAAGGGCCTGTTGAGGGAAATTTTTCTTTCAGAATTTTTTACCATTAAGGTGTTAAATTTATAAATACATGGTACTGTAAGAGTGATTAGTTTAAAGTAGGAGGAGCGAAGGGTTGAAAGAGGTCAGAAATGGCATGGGAAGATGTACGAGAAAAGGATTTGGTGTCATGGTAGCTAATAGGAACTTTGTTCCCAAGCTTAACATAAGTGAGAAAAAGGATCCTTGTAGTTTGTTACAGGAATTAGGTTGTTTGTAGTTTGCATGAGAGAGCTTTCCTATTTTGAGCTGTAATGGGAGGTATCTTAGATTAAACAATGAACCCCTCGATGAATCTTTTGGTCATCAAGGCTAATAGGTTTTCAATTCCTTGTGTAGACTGTGCAATGTAAAATCAACAAGTTATAATGTGCTAATATACAATCACTGAACCAAAATTCGGAATCTGTATTTGTGGCAGTTGGAATTGTTCTTTTCTTGTTGTGCCACATCCAGGTTCCTTTACCATCAATTATAAGATGGGTTATCTATTATATTCACTAAGCATTGGCTGTGGTGGCTTGCTGCTTTTCTGAGAATCATGCATTTCTTTGAAATGTTAAGGTTTCTTCAATCATTTTCAGTTTTACTGAAATGAATATGTTTTAGCATGCCTGCTTTATTTATTTCCCCCTTTCCTTGTGTGATGTTGTTGTGATGTGGATTTGAAGTACAAATGGAGGAGTGCGTTGTGGAAGATGCCATACATGGAATTAAAATAAGATAGTTAAAACAGGGAATGTGCAACTGGGGTGTTATATGATTGTAAAGTTATTGTTAAACTGTAAGGTAGTTAAACTCATAATTAAATTGATTATACTCTAAAAATAATGAGCCAGGCACTAAACATTTTATGTATTAATGAAATCAGCGGACTTGAAGCATGGTTATTAAGATGGCTTTAAAAGAACACTAGAAAGGAGTGGATAGAAAGTTACAGTTCAAAGTATTTGAATTTTGAAGCATATAATGATGGTTCGCTGAACAAAATGTGGAAACGACTAAACTGGTTGGCTGCTTGTTTTTTTCTGCAAATCACACCTCTGTTATGCATTTTTCTCTACAATATACTGGAGCTAATATTGCATAAATACAAGGATGAGTTATTCTAATGTCTTGAAATGATTAAGATATGCTAATTGAAAGACAGGTATTTCTGTGTTAGTTTACAGTCTTGCATAATCACCTTGTTGCAGTTCCCATGGTTAACCGAATACCTACTAAAACAAGCTGGCACCATGGTAGAAATGGTTTTCTTTTATGTATTCTTGGAGGGATTGCTAATTCAACCTGTGTAAAACACTATTTATATCGCATTGAAATGGTAACATGTTTTGATGGGAGACCTGTTAAGGCTAATGCATGTAGACAAATTATGATCTGAAAGCCCTCGCCTTTTGTCTAATCTTTGGAACTTCAGTTGTTTTTGGCAAGTTGATTTTTAATGGATGACTGTTTTTGCAGATGGATGTTTGCCAGGATCCCGAAGCTTGGATTGCCTGTTAGGCTCGTGTTTTAATTCCTTATCCTCAGTAATTTGGTTCAATAAGTTTGTTTCACATTGAGACTTGGAGTCTGGTAATTTTACTTTGTATGTCCAGTTTTTGGAACATGGACCGTTGTAGATGTTTGTTTGCTGTATGATCATGTTCGCAATCCACCCATGGGATAAGACATTAAGGTCTTACATGCATCTTGGCTTGAATAAGATTTCATCCTTTTCTTTTCTTTTGTTTGTTCGTTCTGGGCTTTCGCCATTGCTTCCTTGAAACAAATCTAAATAGAGTGACCATTCTTCCAACTTTTCTTGTCTT